CCTGCTGTGGGGTTGGGAACGCAGCGTGCTTAGGGTGTGTGCAGAGAGCTGTGTTATGTAAGGCTTTCCCATGCAGGGAGGGGATGTGCAGTGTGCAAGGGCCTGGGCCTCCTCTGGCCAGGAGCCCCTTGCAGTGTCAGGGAGGGTTTGGGGAGCTGCAGAGCCTTGGTGGTGCTGAGTTGACAGCAGGGCTAGCTGTACTTGGTAGTGAGCATTGGAAGACTCTTAGGGGGGACCCGGGGATATCCCACAACTCAAACTGAGTCCTGACTTAGAGTAGTGTGTGTGTGTGTGTGTGTGTGTGTGTGTGTGTGTGTGTTGTATGTGTTGTGTGCATGCTTGCTTTCCTGAACAATCTGTCACTTCTGCACAATGTGAGTCCAGAAGATTGTGCAAATGGTGCCTGCATTGGCGCCCTGGTTTGACAGGGTGTGGTCCTGGGCTGTCTCTGAGGCCACGAGGTGTTCTTGTTCTCGGGGTGCTTGTATTCTCAGTGTTCCTGCTCTGGGGAGGGGATTTGTAGGAAAGCTTCCTGAGGGAGTTGGGGTCCTTGGAGAGTGACCTGAAATTCCCAAGAGAAAAAGGACCCAGAGGTCTTCGTCTGTTCCCGGAACACTGCTGGACTCTTGATAAATGGTTTTGAAACAGTCTCCCATTAAAATTTAACCTCAATGGCAGGGGCCATCTCCACTGCACCCCTTTTCTAGTAGCTGCCTAACATATGATAGGTGTTGGGCTGAGTTCATAGGATCCAGTGATTCAGCTGGGTGCTGAATGTATGTGAGTGCTTTGGTTGTGCCCCATGAGGGAAGTCCCTGGGGTAGGGTGTGCCTCTTTTCCCTTTCCCAAGCTGAATGAACCATTAGTTTCCTTTTCTCACCTTAAAAAACTACAGGGCTAGGCCTGCATATGGGCTATAGAGTGTGCAGATTACGATGTAAATGGGAACCCCTTGTTTAAGGGCACATCCTTGCTTTGAGCTATGGGGTAAGGGAGTGTGAGGAAGAACTGGGAGCATGGGCTGATTTAGAAAGGACTAGGCCCTGGGTGCTGATAGGGATGACATCTGGAAGATGTCTGAACCCCTTTCTAAAGCTCTTGTCCCTAAGAGGTTATGCAAAGGGACCTTGCTAAGAGAACCAGGATATTCAGGGAGACACATGAGTCTTACTGCTTTAATTTAAGGCTTACTGCTGATAATATGGAGGTCAGTAGCAATGCTCCCCACAGACATGGTTCAAGGGTGAGGATCCAGGTCCAGGAAAGGACATGAGAGAGAGTGAACCAAGGAGCTCTGTGGAAGAAGAGTAGCATTAGTCAAGGGCAGGGAGGGAGCTATGGGGTCCTGGGTCACCTCAGACCCAGGGAGGCTCTGCTTAGAGGTTCAGAGAACCGCCACGCCTGGCTCTTCTGCTCCACTTGGAACTGCCTGTTGGGCTCTGGCAGAGCACACCACTCTGAGCCTGGGGAGCTGGTTTGAGAGGTTGGGGTAAAGCTGTGGGGGTGGAGGAGTGTGTAAGGCACTGGGGTGTGGTCACTACCTTTTTCAGAACTTGGGAACTGCCTGGGGACAGACGAGAGGCAGACTGGGAGAGCTAGTCTGACTTCTGAAGGGATCTTTGCCTGGATGTCCCCAAGTTTCTCTCCTTGGGGCTGGGCTGACCACGTGCTGGTATTCTCATAGGTTAGAGGAAGGGAGGTGGATATCAATTAGAATGTGCATTAAACTTGGCCCACAGCAGTGGTGAGTGTCTAGAGCTTTCTGCTCTTTGCCCCTTCAGGTTTCAACCAGGCTCTCAGGAACTTGCAATTCCCTGGATTTGATCATGGGCTGCTTTCCGAAGCCTTCCTGATGATAGCATCATCCATACCTGAGTTTGTTCAAAAAGTGTCGGCATGGGGGAGGGAATGACACAGACTGTTTCTGCAGAAATGCCCGTGTGTGCTTTGATGAAGCTCCCCTTTCTTTCTCTGAGCCCCATTTCCTACTGGGCCTAAGGCTCAAATAATCGGTCTTGGGTTTGTCACTGTTTGCATCACAACAGGGGTTGTTCCACTGTGGTCTTGAGCCTCTGTGTCTTTGAGTGAAGTTTGTGTTACTGCCTGTGAGAGGATGTCCTATGGACTATTCATGGGGTGCTTATACTGTGCTGGGCCTAGATGTGCCACTTCTTGTTGGCCTCCTGGAACTTGGAGGGCAGACGCAGTTACTGACTGCTCCAGAGTGGAAGTTCCATAGCAGTGCACAGACGGCAGTTAAGCAATGAAGTAAGCTCCTTTGTCCCATATGGGTCCAGGCCTTGAAGTTTGTGTCCAGAGGCCTTCAAGAAGGACAGGGCAGCCTTGGGTGTATAGTCTCCACAGATGGAGGTTGAGCAGAAAGCATTGCACACAGCCTGTCAGGGAGCGGCATCCTGCCTGGTCCCTGGGGGCTGGAGCGGAGGTTCTGGGGGAAGGGGAAATGCCTGGAGCTGATCCTGGCTACGTGTCCTGGCTAGGCTGTGTGTGTGTGTGTGTGTGTGTGTGTGTGTGTGTGTGTGTCCACTGCCTTTTGAAGACCTGGCCCTGAGTCTTTTCACTACATGGCCTGACCACTGGGGGGCGAGCATGCAGCACCTACCAGGGAACTGGGTGGGGCCCAGAGTATATTCTAAACTGTAAAAAACCCCCCCCCCCCCCCCCCCCCCGATACTTCTCCCCTTGGCTCCTCAACCATAGGACACTGACGTCACAGTGTCTTAATCCCAGCTGTCCTGTCTAAAGCTAAACCTTCTTTGATGTGGCCAGATAAGGAACTTCCCACTGGATAATATAATGCTGTCCTTAGGATGTCACTAGAGAGGTGGAGAGTCCCTCCTGGTCACCTGGATAGGGGAAGGAGAGGGACTCTCCCCGATGGAAGTGAGAATTTAGAGCTTCAGGCCTTGGCCCTGCGGCTTATCTAAGAGTTGGTGGGGGTAATGTATGAGACCAGAGTAGAGAGAAGAGGAGGAGGAGATGAAGAAGCAGTCATGGGGCCGGGGCATGGAGGCACACACCTGGCTTTAATCCCAGCACTAGGAAGGCAGAAGTAGGCAGAGCTCTGTGAGTTCCAGGTCTACAAAGCGAGTTCCAGGAAAGCTAGGATCAGTACACAGAGAAACCTGGTCTCGAAAAACAACAAACAAACGAACGAACGAACGAACGAACAAATGGAAAAGAAGCAGCAGCATTCATGGGGCTGGTTATGGCTGCTTTAGAAGTCCATGAGCAAAAACCCCCGACATGATGAGGAGGAGGCAAGAGTGAGAAGGCTAGTACAACTTCCTTCTGGTAGGAGCTGCAGGCTGGGTCAGCACCATTTTCTTGCTTTTGTAGCAGGTAGCATGGCCTAACTCTGGCAGGTGCACACCCAGAAAGGAAGGTGCACACAGAGGGACCTGTGTGACAGATATCTACTGAGAGCCAATAAAGCTCACCAACAAGGATTGCCTTAGCTGGGAAGGATGGGAGATGAGGCTGACAAGGGTCTTCTGAGAGAGAGAGAGAGAGAGAGAGTGTGTGTGTGTGTGTGTGTGTGTGTGTGTCCCCGTCCTCTTAAGTGTTTCTCTGAACATCCCTCCAATATCCAGGCCATCTGGGTCTTGTTGGTCTAATTCACTTTGATTGTTCCCTCCTGAAAGTTGAGGGTGCCCTCAACGTGTCTACTTAAGTAGCCTCATTTGCCTAAACTTGAGATATTCCTGTGTTAGCCTCCTGAAGACTATAGGTGTCATGGAGCACATGATCCATCCATGTAAAGTTTTTTTGTGTTTGTTTTGACAGGATCTCATTATGTGGGCAAGGCTATCCTTGAACTATCTATGTAGCTCAGGATGGGCTGGAACTTGCAGTGATCCTCTTGGCTTAGCCTCTTTGGTGCTGAGATTAGAAGTGTACACCATTATGCCTGTCTCTGCTAAACTTTTTTTCTTTTTTATATTTTTGGTTTTTCAAGACAGGGTTTCTCTGTGTAGCTTTGGAGCCTATCCTGGCACTCGCTCTGGAGACCAGGCTGGCCTCAAACTCACAGAGATCCA